GGTATGGGGGAAGGTAGACTCTTCACTGAATGATTTCAAATCTGCTGGGATGGAGCTAATGAAAGGAAATGGAGATGAGACTCTAGTGGTACAATAATGAATAATTGTTTATCAGGATTGACTGTGAGGGTCGGAAATATAAAGGTAGATGTTTTTTAACAAAAGCAGGGGAATGATTGATTTTGCAGTCCAGGAGTAGAAGTCCCTGGGACCATCAAGTAAGAACAGAGTGCAGGACCCTACCCAGAGAAGCAGTGATGCCAGAAATGGAGACAGAGATGTGACAGATGGAGCAGATGGGAACACTGGACCCAGGGAGAGAGAGGGGCTGTGTGCTTACGGCCAGGGAGCAGGCCTGTGTGGTATACCCTTTGGTTATTTGATGATGTATGGAAGGGATGGTAATCATTGCAATGAAACAAAATAAGACAGGATGAATGTAAAACTGATGTTCTCCCATGTAAACCCACACAATTCACAATAAAAAATTAAAAAAAAAAAAAAAGATGTCACTTTGAGAATTATGGTGGTGCTCCTGATCTATGCCATGATATTTTTAATTATCTAATATGCATGTCAAAGCTGGACAATGAATAAGAAAGATTGAAAACTTGATAGCTGAATTATGATGTTGTGTAGAAGATTGAATAGATCATGGATTGCAGAACAAGCAAATCTGCGTTGGAAGAAATACAGCTAGAATGCTCCTTAGAAGTGAGGCTGGTGAGACTTTACCTCATGTATATTGGACATGTTATCCAGAGGAACCGGTCCCTGGAGAAGGACTTAGCAGAGGGTCAGCAAAAAGGAGGAAGACACTCAATGAGACAGACTGATACCATGGTTGCAATAATAGATTCAAATACAGCAAGGACTGTGAGGAAGGCACGGGATGGGCAGGGCTTCTTCATGCTGTAAGCTGGGTCACTCTGCGTGAAACTGACTCACTCTATTTCTCAAGATGAAACCACAATACGGTGGTTACTACAAGATTTGGGAACACTGATCTAGATGTGAATTTTAATCTCAAATCTGTGACATGACTAGTGTCCTGTACCAGGGGTCCGAGATTCTGGATCTGGCTGGTAGAAGAGTGAGAGGGCTTCATAGCTGTTAGCAGCTTTCTGTCTTCCTTCTTGTGGGAAAGATTTATCAACTTAATAGTCGCAGTGTCAGACAAAATTAATTTTCAAAGTGTTGTCATTGTTTCTAAGTGTCGTCAAAATCGGGTCTGACTCATAGTGACCCTGTAAGAGTTTCTAAGAAGCAGCTGGTGGATTTGAACTGCTGGACTTTAGGTTAGCCATCTATTATTTATCCTACGGTACTACACCCACATTAAGAACTGAGAATTATATAAATATATATATACATATATATATAAAAACCCGAGTCCTTTTTTAGCTGTGTCAATAGAACAGAGCTCTAGCTAGCACAAGTGTTTAGAACATAAAATCAGAATCTCTGATATTATAGGAGACAAAAAATATAAATTGCTTTTACTTAAAATTGAGAAAAGGGTTAAATTACTACCTTCATGGGATGAGTTTTTAATTACCATGTGTTTACACAAATAACATACTCCTTCCTTTTAAGTTTGTTTGACAACCTGCTTGCAATCCCGACACACAAGTAAATTAGCACTGTTAATTTTTTTGTTTTTGTTTTTTACAGGAACATGTAATAAAAAAAACTGGCATAACAGCGCTTATGAAATACCTCTCAGGGCGTATTTCATCTATTGACAAACAAATGTAGCAGGTTCGTGTTATTTGCGTAAAAATGTGGAGTCCTGGTGTGGTGCTGTGGGTTAATGTGCTGGACTGCAAAGTCGGTTTGAACCACAAGGTCAGCTGTTCAAGCTCCTTGGAAACCCTATACAGGGTTGCTATGGGTTGGAACCGACTCAACAGCACTTAACAACAACAATGGTCATTAAAAACTCATCCCACAAGGTAGTAATTTTAGCCCTTTAAAAAGTTTTTAGATAAGTTTTTTTGTCTCTTAAAAAGTAGCAAACATTAAAACCATGTTAACATTATTTCATTGATCACTGTTTCTGCCATAAGAAAGGAGCTGACCTTATTAAGTATTCTATTTCATATACTTTTTCACAGGAGATAAAAAGGCCTGATTAAAAAGGAGGCACTTCAATGAAAACTGAACCTAAACAGAGGCTATACCTATATTAACATTTCTAACGTCCAATCTTTGAGCTACTTGGAGTGGTACTTTGCTGTTGTTGTTCAGTGATAAATTGAAACATACCCTTTGAAATAAACAAGGAAAATTTAAATTTCAAGACATTTTAATTGCAATAATTTGACCTTTGTTTTATTTCTTTAAATATCCCACTCTGCTACAGTTAAAGAACAATTTTTCCTTTTCTGTCAAAAAGTAAATATCTGCATTAAGAAAACAAAATAGCTGTGTCTCTCTACTCAACTTGTAGTTTTGTTTAGCTGAATTAACATTGTAAATGCTTTATGTTTTTCTACTAAACCAGTATCTTCAAAATCTTAACTGATCCAGCAACAGACTTCCTTATGTGATAACCCATATAAGATTTCCAAGGAGCGGCTAGTGGGTTTGAACCTTGAGGTTCACAGTCTAGTGCTTATCCTACAGTGTCACAATACATACAAATAAATACAAGTAAAAGCAAAACTCTGCCTGCAAATATTACATGTGATTTCAACAATAAAGACAAGTCCTTAAAAAATCAATTATGTATTTATTAGCATGTGTTCAAAGAAGTGACTTAAAAATCCAACATAATGTCTTACGAGGCTTACAATTTAATTGCTAGTACAGACTTTTTCCTTTTTTAAAAAAAGGTTTGTCCCCATTAACTTGAGGATGGCACTATTTTACAGCTTCAGTTATGCATGCTGACACATCAGACATTAATCTATCCTCAGTTTTCACAGAATCGGTGTTAAGTCCAAAAAAGTCTTTTTTGATGATGTACCGAACACACTGCAAAATCACATTTCTTTCATGTCTGATGTCTGGAGCCAAAAGCTAAAACATAAAAATAAAAATCAGTTAGGAAATAAAATACATTCCAAAAAACACAACCGAAAATATTAAGTGTGCTTTCCTCACATAAAGAACATGGGACAACAGCAGATATGAGGGGGCTTTGAAAAGTTCATCGAAAATTTCCATTATCTTTCATTTTTCTTTGTATGATACTTACTTTGAAAACCTACAATTCTTTATTTTAAAAATCATAATTTAAAGGACCTTTAAAACAAAAGTCAAGAAAAGGTTTTCATGCGAAAAGAAACATTTTTGATGGTTAACAGGGTAGGGAGGGTAATAATTTATTGGCTAAAGGGAAGAAGGTGTTAACTCAGATGACAAGGAGAGCAATGTACAAGGAGAGGTTGGCAGAAGAGTGATGACGGTAGGGGAAGGCACGGGAGGAATGCGAGAGTTAAAGGGAACAGAGGTAAACACTGTTTGTATACACAATCCTGAGATAACCGTGCTCTGCAGGTCGATACCCTGACAGATGCACAGGCTAAAGAGGTGTGGCAGCAAGAGTGGGAGCAGACCCACAAGGAGACAAAGGTTTAACACAGGATATCTGCACGGGGGCATTTACCTGTGCTGCAACTATAGATGGTGCCATGAATGTGGGGTAATGTGTTGTTGTTAAGTGCTGACAAATCGGTTCCAACTCATAGTGGCCCCATTTAGGGTTTCTGAGGAGTGGCTGGTAGGTATGAATCAACAACCTTGCTGTCCAATGCATTATGCTGCAGCTCCACACCAGGACTCCATGGTGTAGTATATAGGGGGCAAACTTATGAAAAATTCTTAAGACATTACCAAACCACTTGAGGGAAGGAGTTGCTGGACCTAGGGAGTCAGGACCATAGCCTCAGAGGACACCACGGTCAATCTGCATAACACAGTCCACAAAGACAATGTTCTATTATCCTACTTTGGTGAGGATCCACTGAGATATTAAAAGCTCATGAGCAGCCATCTAAGATGAAATTATTGGTCTCTCCCCGTCCCGAGGAAAGAAGAGTGATGAAAATCAAAGACTCATGGAAACAAGTAGTCCAGTGGACTAACGATTAGACCACGTGAACATCAGTATCCATGACCCTGAGACTGGAAGACTAGATGATGTCTGGCTACCACTACCTAACTGCCCTGAAAGGGATCACATTAGAGACCTGTAGAGAGTCGGAGAAAATCCGGAACAAATTTTAAAATCTCATAAAAAAGACCAGAGGGACCCTACAGTAAGGTCCTTGGTGACCCGTCTGGAACTGAGATCATCCACATGATTCAATTTTCAGCCAAGTAGTAAATATACAAGGGGACAACATTAGTGAGGTATGTACCCCAAAGAACGGTCAACCATCCAAAACAAAAAGAATAATGTTTACTGAAGGACATTCTGAAGGGTTGGGAAAGAAGATGGACAGGAAGTAAGAATCACAGGGAGGAATTGGGATAACTCGTGTTACCTTGAGGGGATTGTAACCAGTGAAAGGAAATCAAGTACATTATTTAATGTAAATCTGATGACTTACTCTGAAAACCTTCTTCATTCATAATCAAAGTTTTTTTAAAAAGGACCTTTAAACCTAAATCTAGAAACACTCTAGAAATTAAATCGGTTTATTAAATATAGCAATGATGAAAATAATAAGAAAACAAAACCTAAATAGTCCTTGATTTTCGTTTTTGTGCTTAGTGTAATTGAGAGAAAAATTTAAATCCCTGCATTGTAGAGCAAGTGTGTGACCAGGGAATCATATATTTGCCAAAAAGGATAAACCAACTACTCAACTGAATTTCTGATGTCATTAATATAGTTTGAAAACACAGTGCAGAAAAAAAGATGATTTAATTATGAAGCATGATGACCACTTTAAAAATGCAATTATTTTAAACAGTATGGAAATGACAACCCAGAGATCATCTGTCAGCTGCTTTTCCATAAGACAGGGAAGTGTCTACGACTCACAAAGTGTAATCCTGGGACATATTTCAGCAACAGCACTAGTACTTACCTGCTGAGGAACAGACTTTCAACAGAACGTTTTAATACTTTTGCAACTTCACTAAATTTGTTCCGAACACTCCTATCATTTGACGTGAAAATCTCTGAGTCCATTACTTAGAAATCTAAGACTGCACTGCTTCCTCCTTATAATTTGTAGAAAGAGTCTACCTTTTGAAACATCATACTGAAAATAAAACCAACAAAGCACACACAAAACAAAAAAATATTTGAATTCTTAAAGAGATTGTGTCTCCTTGTCCAGAGTATAGAAGAGTGATGTACCAGACTGAAGACGTCTGGAAACAATTAGTCCAATGGACTAATGAACCAAGTGAACATCAGTGTCTATGACTCTGAGACCAGAACTAGATGGTACCTGACAACCACTACCTACTGGTCTGAAAGGGATCACATTAGAAGGTCCTGGATAGGTTGGAAGAAAATGTGGAACAAACTCAAAATCATAAAAAAGACCAGGCTTACTAGTCAACTACAGATTGATGGAAGTCTGAGACTATAGCCCTTGGTCAGTCTTCAGGTCTGGAACTGAACTCACCTCTGTGGCCCAGTTTTCAGGTATATAGACAGGTACAGAAAAGGGACAACAACACTAGTGAGGTATGCACACTGTAGAATGGTCAGTCACTGGAAATCCAAAGGCAGCATTTACCAAGGACAAAATTCAGAAGGACTGGGAAAGGAGAAATGAGGAGAGAGACCCAGGGAGGAAGGGGGGATAGCGGTGTTACAGTGAGAGGATCGGAGTCACTGAGAGGAAACCAAGTGTAGGATTTGCTGGGTGTAAAACTGACGAGCTGCTCTGTAAACCTTCACGCAACTTAAATAGTAATTAAAAAAAAAAAAAAATCACAAACCCATAGGATTTTCTTTCCATGACTTTGTTTTTCTGAACAGACATTTCTATTACAAATGGCTTTCTCTCTTTTGTCTTCCATTTTATTTTATTGTGTTTGCATGAAAAACTTGAATATTAAATCTCAGTATTTCCACAGTAGTCTTTTGAACAAAAGTACAATTATTTCACATTTTCTGAACAGCAGCTATACGTACAACACACATATGGGGGAAAACTCACGTTTTTATGATATGAGAACAAAAAGGTTAGAATGTAAAGAAAAATTATTTACCATTTCCAGAAGATTTGGATGGTGTGTTCTTGGTTGAAATAATGTCTGATAGTTGTGATGTTTTTTCTGCTTAGGATGTGTCTTGTTAAAACTTTTCCTTGGGCTCTTAGGTTTGGCTTCTGTAACAGGCTGACTAGGTTTGGCTTCCGTAACAGGTACTGTAACAGGCTGACTAGGACTCTCAAGAGTACAGCCAAGGACATGGTTTTCTGTAAAATCTTCCTCCTTCTTTATAGGAGTTTCTAAGTGTGGTAAAATAATAACAAAAACAAACAAACAAAATTGGTAAAACTCCCAAAAATAACAACAAAAAACTCCATAATAATACTCCAGGTAGAATATTAACTACTTCATAACTTAAAAAAAAACTATGCATCATTTAATAAAGCATTTACAATAGATCACAGTGCTTTTAAAACTGGGAGTTACAACTGCCAAGAATGAAGGAGACTACCACAAAGAGTTACAGATTATCCCTATAAAGGAAATAACACCAGATAAAAAATCTGGATCAATAAAAGGGAATAAAGAGCGTTGGAAGCAATAAATATAGTGAATAAACACAAGCCATTTTTCCTCATTTAAATGAAAGCGAGAGAAACTACCATATAAGATAAAAATAATAAACTATGTTACATATGATGTGAAGGTAGGCTGTGGTAAGTACAGCTAATAAGTCAATATATCTTTCCTTTCCTAACAATATAGAATTCATCCAAATGAAAACAGAAAAAGAAAAATGAGATAAACAAAAAAAGTAGTAAAATGGTAAAATTAAATTCAATCAAAAGAAAAATGAGATAAACAAAAAAAGTAGTAAAATGGTAAAATTAAATTCAATCATATCAATAATTACATTAAATATAAGTGGTCTAAATATTCCAATTAGAAAGCAGAGACGGTTAAATGAATAGTAAGAGCAAGACATCTACAAAAAAAAGCAACTTTAAATGCAGGTAGTCCTTGTTTTGCTTGGCTTGAACTGAGATTAGATCTCAGTTGCCAAGGAACCTTGCACAGCCAGGACTGCCTGTGTAAAGTCCCAGGTTAAAGTAAAAGGATGAAAAATGATACCAGGTGAAACATTAGTCCTAAGGAAGCTGGAATGGTTATGTCAACATCAGGCAAAGTAAATATGAACAGGGAATACTGTGGTTGTTAAACACTGTGGGGTCAGTTTCAACGCACAGAAGGCCTGAATAGGGTTTTCGAGGAGCAGATGGTTGAGTTTGAATTGCCGACCTTTTGGATAGCAATCCAGTACTTAACCTACAACGCCATTATCAGGACCCCAGGGAATAAAGAACACCAAGGACAAAAAGAGGCAGTTCAGAATGACACAGACATCAATTTATTAAGCACACAGAAACAGTAACAATAAAAGTGCTTCCATGTATGTATACACAACAAAAACGGACAGAACTGGAAGTGGAAATAAGACAAGCACTTGAACCGCAAGGTTAGCAGTTCAAGCTCACCAGCCGCTCCTTGGAAACCCTATAGAGGGTTGCTATGAGTCAGAACCGACTTGACAGCACTTAACAACAACAACAACAACATTATGGTTGGAAACCTGAACACTCCACTATTAATAGTTTAAGAACAATTATACAGAAAATGAGGCCTTCAAAGCATTTATGGAAAAATGCAATTACAGGATAATGAAAATTCTCATGAACTTTTTAAAGCCCCCTCCTACAAAGCTAAACACTACCAATCAATACAAACCCCACTCAACCCAATACACACTTTTCACGTTCACATGCACGATGTGCTGGGCCATGAAACAGGTGTCAATGAATTTTAAAAAACAAAAATATACAGAATATGTTCTCTAATCACAACAGAATTCAATTCAGTAATGAAAAATTTCTTTAAAACCCCCAAATATTTGGAAACGAAACAGCAGACTTCAACAGAAGTTGATCCCTTGAAAAGGTTTATAAATAATAAACACCTAGCAAGTCTGTGTATGAAAAAAGAGAAATACATAATATCAAGAATAAAATGGTATATGTAGTTATACTACAAAGGAATATTATGATCAGTTAAGCCAAGAGCTTTGACAACTTAGATGACAAATTGTTTTGAAAAACACAAATTACCAAAACGGATGCAAAAAAAGATCTACTTTCCAAAGGCGTCCTTGGTTCAGCATTAAACTGCTAACAGAAAGGTTGGTGGCTCAAATCTACCAGGCACTCCACAGGAGAACGATAGATAAGTCTGTTTCTGTAAGGATTTACAAACTTGGAAACACTGTGGATGTCTATTCTGTTCCACAGAGTCACTATGAGTTAGAATCAACTACACAGCCATGGGTTAGAGCTTCTTTCTAAAAGGATCCCTGGTAGCACAAAAGGTCATGAACCAAGCTCACCTAGCCCCTTTTTGGGAGAAAGACCTGGGAATTTGCTTCTGTAAAGAGTAAAACCAACAAAACACTGAGGCTATATGGGTTGCTATGAGGCAGAACTAACTTGATGCTACCCAACAACAAAGTAGTCACTGGTGGTGGTAGTGTGTCGTGGAGTCTGTTCTGATTCATAGCGACCCTGTACAGGGTTTCCAAGACTGTAAATCTTTATGGAAGCAGAAAGCTTCATCTTCCTCCCGCAGAACTGCTGGTAGTTTCAAACTGCTAACTGTGCGATTAGCAGCCTGAATTATAACCACTACGCTACCAGACGTCCTTAAGTTGTCATAAAGGAAACTTAAATAATTTAAAATGTCAGGTACATATGGCATCACTACTGAATTCTGCAAACACATTAAGAAAACAAAAACAAAATGGTAGCAACTTTACACACACAACTAAAAAAAAAAAAAATTAAGAAAGAAAAAAGGAAACCATTTATACCAAATCCAGACAAAGATAAGAAAACCACATGTCCCTCATGAACACAGCTGCCCAAATCCTTAAATGATGTGGATGAGGCAAAGCTTCTGGAGCCTTCATTTGCTGATGTGGCAGAGTTCAAAAGGCGAAGAAACAGCTGCAAACATCCATTAATAACTAGAACTTTGAATGAATAAAGTATGAATCCAGGAAAATTGGAAAATGTCTCAAATGAAATGGAATGCAGACAGAGTGATAGCCTAGGCATTTGTGAGCTGAAATGGACTGGCACTGGCCATTATGAATCTGTCAATCATAATGGAAATGAAAAATCAAAGAGGAATGATGTCACATTCTTTGTCAAAAAGAACATTTCAAGATCTATCCTGAAACACAACGCTGTCTTTGATAGGCTAGTACCCATATGCCTACAAGAAGGACCAGTTAATAAGACTATTATTCAAATTTACATAGCAACCAGTGAAGCCAAAGATGAAGAGATTGCAGTTGGAAAATATGGCCTTGGTAACAGGAACAATTCTGGAGGTCACATGATAGAATTTTGCAAGCCCAATCATATATTCATCGCAAATGCCTTTTTTTAACAACATAAACAGTGATTCTATACACAGACCTCACTGGATGGAATACACAGAAATCAAATTGACTACATCTGTGTGAACAAACAAGGGAGAAGCTCAATACCATCAGCCAAAACAAGGCCATGGGCCAACTGTGACACCTACCATCAATTGTTCATATGGTAACCCACGTTGAAGGTAAAGAAAATTAAGATAAGTCCACGAGAGCCAAAGTACAGCTTTGAGTATACCCCATCTTAATTTAGAAACAATCAAAGGAAAAGTTTTGTCAACACTAATGATGGAAACCCAGATAAGTCATGGTTTAAGGGCATTATGCATGAAGGAAGCAAAAGATCACTAAAAATACAGAAAAAAAAAAAAAGGAAAGACCAAAATGAATGTCAGAAGAGACTGAAAAGTGCCCTTGAATGTACAATTAAAGCAAAAGGAGAAATACGGAAGTAAAAGCTGAAAGGGACAAAAACACTCAGCATTTTTCAAGCTGAAAGAAACAAAGAAAGTTCCATCTTTCTCCCACAGAGTGGTTAGAGGGCTCAAACCACAGTCCTTGTGGTTTGTAGACCAGTGCTTATGCTATGGTGCCATTGTACCCCAAAAGAATAATAAAGAAAAATCATTCGATCTGTTAAAATTTGCAAGTTTTAAGATAGGAATCTTCTCCCACCCCCAAGTGTTATTCTACATGTTTGTTTTTGTTAAGTGCCATTGAGTCAATTCCGACCCACAGCAACCCTGTATAGGGTTTCCAAGGAGCAGCTGCTGAGCTTGAACCATCGACTTTGCAATTCAAATGGCTTTTCAGTCTGTCACATCAACCCACAGTGTCACACCAGAAGTCCACGCTTGGTTACAGGCTAATGCAACTGAATATTGAGAGCTTCAAACCGTTGGGCGATTGGGTTCAGTTACACAAATGGAGCTGTGGGAGTTCAATCATAGCCCCCCCAAAACTGTCACCATTCAAGTATTCCATCAGGACTCACTGTAGAAACTACATGTGAGAGGACGTACCTGTATGGTGCTTAAGTGTCCCAGGTACTGTTTTATGTGTTTTACTCATTTAATGACCTCATAATTTATTCCCATTCTAAAGATGAGCAAATTCAGGTAGACTTAAGCAGCTTGCCTGAAGAGCACACAATTTGTAAGTATTGACACTAGGATTTGACAGTACCAGTCTTACACCCGAGCCGGTTTCTAACACACCTACACCCGCTGCCATGATTGATTCTGGCTCACACCAATCCTACAGAACAGAAAAGAACTGCTCCCTAGAGTTTCAGAGGCTGCAGAGCTTTACAGAAGATTGTCTCATCTTTCTCAGTCAGAGCAGAGGGTGGATTCAAACTGTGGACCTTTTGGCTGGCAGTCTAACTGTACTACCAGGGTTCCTAACAGAGTTTTCAAAATGTACATGGAAAAATACCATTCTCTTTCAATTCCATTTTTTTCCCACAAGCTTTTGAAGTCCCCTCGTACAAGTGTTAGCTATAATAGTAATGATGATGTGTTTTCAACGTGGCACAGAAAATAAAAGGAGGAAAAAGACAAGGATTAAAGTTAAGAATTCCCCAAACAGAATGTCAAGTTCAAAACTATGGGGATAAAACAACAACAACAAAACTATGGGATAATAATAAAAGGCCAAAAGAAAACCCAGGACATTCACACCCAAAAAAACAATCCAATTCTGACTCATAGTGATCCTATTATTCCCTTCCCCTTCAAGTATTAATCATCCAAATGCAAGCCAGGTACACATAAACCAAATAAATCAGAGTTTATCTTGTCAATGACC